TTTATTTGTTTTGCTTTGTAGCTCAGCCCATTTAGGGACTGTTGGCCTAGTAGGTTAACTGTTTTCTTTCATATTTAAAGCTCTCCAAATGTTTGTAGTTTTTGGTTGTTCATGAAATAAGAAAAGGGCATGAGTTTATTAGAGAGCAATCCGTTTTCATCTTGTTATTGTTTGGCTTGTAGTTTCGAACTACATCAATGATTCTGTCTTTACTTTTCTTCTTTGGTCTCTTCTGGCATAGGTGATTAACTGTGTGCGGTCTGCCTAGAGACAGTAGCCAGGCAGACGACGTGTTGTGCAACAAAATATGGGCAGCAGTTTTAATACACAGATTTTGAGTGATAAGCTGATGAAGCTCAACAGTTCGCAGCAGAGCATTGAGAGTATCCTCCTGATGATTATACTTTCTTCTTCACATTCTTATTAGCTGATTGCACCGATATTGGCACAGTGTTCTTTTTCCACAATTGAATTTTCCTAGTTGAAAACTTGTTGGAACTACCAGTTCCTGGTATTTGACATTGCTCACTATTTGGGAAATTGTTTTATGTCCCATATTGGCTTTTTAACCTTGTCATGTACTTTATCTTGGAAAACTGATGGATATGATCTTGTACAGTCACTTTTTAAGTTCTTCAGTTCATCCTATGTAATGCATCATAGCTCATTCACATTTACTTCATTTTTTATATTCATTATTTGATCTTCCCCCGGTAAATGAAATTGATGTTATCCTTAATGCAATGAAGCTCTCTCGCATTGGTGCATTTTTCACATGAATAATGCAAAACAAGTTGTTGAAACATGGGACAGGCAGTTTCATTGCTCTCCTCATGAGCGGCGACTGGCTTTTTTGTATCTTGCAAATGACATTATTCAGAATAGCAGGCGAAAAGGTGCAGAGTTTGTTACAGAGTTTTGGAAGGTTCTTCCAGATGCTCTTCGTGATGTAATTGAACATGGAGATGAGTTTGGGAAGAACGCTGCATTCCGGCTGGTGCGTCTTACTTTCCTTTAAAATTAATGTGGTTAATAGTTTTTTATTTCCTGTTTGCACTCATTGAAAGGTTATTGCCTTGAAATATGAAGAAATAAATTTTTGTGATGTTTATACATTTACAATATAGGGTGTTAAAAGTTTGGATGAGAAAGACAAAAGCTAATGAAGAAATTGTTGATAGGCGCTTTTATGGCCATTCAACTAGCGTCTTCTGATATTCTTTATAAGTGTATCAAGGTTTTTTCCATGTACAGTAAGTTACAATAAATCATGCAAAAGAGAAACAATAATGTGTTGGTTTGAAACTTTTTGTTTGAATTGGTGATCTTGACCTGGATTCCCAAAGATGCCACATGAACTGTTTTACTTTTGCATTTCATGAATTTCTTCCTTTTCCTCTAAAATTTGCAAATTTATGAAATTTTAGGTTTTAGACTTGTATTGCAAGGAATTCTGCAGTGCATTGGAGAACAAGTCTAAATATCAAGTTGCCCTCAAGAAAGGGAAGAAAAACCAGAGAGATATGGTATTAGTAACTAAGAGGGGGTTTTCGAAACTGGTTTTTCTCTTGAGAAAGAAAGATATGGCAGAACTTTCCAAAGCCCGGGTGTTAGAGCCATCGAGGAAAGCTATTCCAAAAAAACCCAACCTATCTAAAATATTGCAGTATTTCTAATGGGAAGTATCTTGATCCCATTTTTCATTAATTGCACCTTCCCATGAGCACCCTTCTTCACCTTCTTGTCCTTCAATTCTTGATTTGAAACTCCAGTAGTTGTGCAGAGTGGTACTCATTGTTTTTCAGGCTCAGTAATCAAGTGGGATTTACTGCTGTTCTGGGTTTTTCTGAGGGGTTGGGTTAAATTTATTGACTAATGGATACAGGTTTTTTTAAAGCAATTTTTGGAAGGATCCGTTTCGAAATAATTGCACACTTAATATAAATCTGGTTTTGAACTCTTTTACTGAAGCACCTCCATTAGATCGATAATGAAAAGGAAGAAAATACAAACACAATTTAATCCCCGCTCCAATATTGCGTCTTCCTTCCTTCTCATCCTTGGAACCTACTAACAAGGATTCATATAGATCCAGTGTTCTCACCGTCATCAAATGCCATGCCTAAACCCCAGCACCTCCAAATAAAATATATAAATAGCCAGAATGCTTTACCCACCCATCTTACCAATACTAAATTGACCTACAATTGCATAACTTTTGGGTGCTGGTGCCAATGCTCTTTTTCTATCCTTTCCTTTTAAACAGACCGTTCCGTGGTTCGGTGAGGGGTTAGGGAAGAGGCAGCAGGATTTTGTTGGAATGGCAAGGTGATGGTTTAATGGTTATGATCTTCCCTTTTCTGTTTGTCACTTTGAGTGGAAGTTAATATTGAAAAAACAATTAGAAGTCATGGATAAATGTGAAAATAACACCTAGTTACTTAGCGTCTGTTTGATCCCCATTTTGCAAAAGAAAATCTCATTCTCATCTTCAATAAGTGTACCTAAATACACTATTTCCCCTGTTTTTTGTTAGGACAGATCATGAATGCATTGATCTTTTCAAACCGTATTGTGTAGGTTCATTTCACTATTCCCATTATACCCTTTGCAGAAAATATTTGTACAGGATGTCAGGAAGAATGATATGAGTCATTTAACCCTCACGGACATGAAAGAATTTTGGGAATTTTAAATTAATTTTACTGTAGCTGAATCTCAGAATCTACTAAAATGTAGATTTTAATGTAGACCAAACAGACGCTTACTATTTTTATCTTTGGCCAACACATTGTATGTATCAAAGGCATTTTGCTCAAATTTTCCATTTTGGAGGAAGTACCCGTGTCGACGCTACATGAAAAGGATGAGGGTACATGAACTGTGTCAGATCCTTTAAATCAAGAGAGGATCCTTTATATTGTTTTGTTATTTTAGGATTGGATTTTAAAATGATATCTAATTTAAAATCAAGAGAGGATCCTTTATATTGTTTTGTTATTTTAGGATTGGATTTTAAAATAATATCTAATTTATATCTCACATTTCTAAATTTGAAATGAAAACCAAATAAACTATTGTAATTTGCAATTTAATTTGTTTTAAGTTTAGAGTCAGACATATAGTATATAATCTCTCTTATAAAATGCATCTAAAGTTATCAGTATATAAATTCTAAATAACATTGAAGTAGGTCAAATATCCACATACCCATGTCTAAGTTTTGAATCTTTTGTAGCCATTTCCGTGTTTCCTAGATTTTAGACAAAAAGATTGGTCACCCGAACGCAAGTCCAAGCAACAAAATTTAAGCTTCTTGTTGAAATAAGTTTATAATCACCCGAGATAGAATAAGAGATATCTTGTCTGGTTCAAATTTGTGTAACTGCAGTGAACTTTGCTGATTAATTTATTTTCATCTGCTTTCCAATTACATACAGATTGGTATTTGGGAGGAGAGGAAAGTATTTGGCTCCAGAGGGCAAATTCTCAAGGAAGAGTTTGCAAAAAACCAACTCGACAACGATAATAAAAATGGGAAGCATGTTGGGTTCAAACTGGTAACCATATCTGGCGTTGCTGAATGCTATTAATATGCATTTTGGTTTTATGATTGTAGTCCAATGATTAATGCTTCTGTTCCTTCTCTGCAACCAGAAACCTGCTGCTGGAAACACATTGGACAAGATAGTTTCAGGTTATCAAGTTGTCTATGGTGGTCAACTGAATGAAGATGCTGTTTTGAACAACTGTAGCAACACCATCAGCTCTATTGAGAAAATAGAAAAGGATATTGGAAGCGACCACAGATCAGGTATATTTCTCTTCCATTGTGCGTCTTTGTGATCGTAATTTTTTATGTCCTCATCTAATTTGTCGTATATCTTATAGAATCATGTGGCATTATGCTTGTGACATGTTGCTTTCATTTTTCTTTCTAAAATTTATGATTTGATAGCACACTGCAGTTGTTTAGATGCATATAACTTCCTGTGCTTATATTGTGGAACCTTTTGTTCTTATTCTCGATTCGTAAGACACTCACATAATCATCAAATTAGCGATCAATTAATTCAATGTATTAAATTTATAGTAAAACCAACACATATATGAATAGAAGAATAAATGATCACAAGTTGCCCTAATATGAAAATTAGTTACTCATAATGTAAAAATAAATACAAGAAATTGTCTTTGAATACATCATCGAATTCTTTGAATAGAGATGTAGAAAAGAATTTAATCTTTTTTTCCTCCTCTCAGCGCCCGTTTTCTGTGTATATATATTCTCCTCCAAGCAGCGGCCTGTGCGTGTATATATTCCCACTCCTTGCAGCCGCCTTTTTGTGTTTGTGTATATATATATATATATTAACCACAGCCCCTTTCTCTCCTCCTTGCTGCGCGTTTTCTGTGTGTATATTTTCTCCAGCAGCAGCCCTCTTCTCCTCTTTTCTGTGTGTATGCTCGTGTATATATATCTCAGCCACCGTTTTTGACTTCAAAGAAAACTCCAATTTTTTTTATTTTTTATTTTTGTCTCCATCTGTATGTGTAATCTCTCCTCTCCCAGCAGCAGTTTCTTTCTTGCTTTTTCCCTTGCGTGTATGTATATAATATAATATATAGGTTTAATTTGTGGCCCTCCAATTCAAAGCCATTAATGCTATATTATCCTTCAACTCCTTCACTTTCCGAAGTATGAAATTTGTTCTCCAAAATTTGCATCCAATAGCCAATTTAGTCCCCGTACTTTGGATTTTGCCATTTTCGCTATTTTGCATTCTTTTCTCCAATTCTTCATCAAACATGAAGTTTTACCTACAAAATGTAATAGAACATAAATTAGGTAAAATTTTATCCAAATGACAATAAAATATCATCATTTAGGGCCTGGAATAATTGTAGAAACTACACTTATCACTGGGTGCTTTCAGGTATTGCTTGTATTTCTGAATAACTGCTCAATTTCATGTCCAAAAAAATTGTGCCTTATGTGGATTTGTTGGCTGAGCTTAAAAATGACTTGCATGCCCACCATTATTCATTTAATTTCTTTTCTATTTTGTTAATTATTTATTTATTTTTACATTGAGCATTTCCTTTTCATGTTTCCGACCAGCTATACTTGCATCTCTGACTAATGATACTCGTATCTCATCTCTTTGTCTTCTGGGTCCTTCTTTCTTTCAATTGAAATAAGTAGGCCATCCGATTCAATCTGGCATCATGGATGAGCTGAAGGGGAAGCATGCAATATTGAGGGACTGTATTGAGCAGCTAACAGTTGTTGAATCTTCAAGGACAAAGCTCGTGTCTCTTTTGCGAGAAGCTCTGCAGGAGCAGGTAGAATGCCTTGTGATCAGCAAATGCAACAGCTTCCAAACTGTTATGTTTATACTGCAATTGTTTTCACTTAAATTTTTTTCTACCTAATAAGCTTCTGTAATTTTGTTCTTAGGAATATAAGTTGGATCAAGTCCGCAATCAACTTCAGGTAACTCATTTACAGGTTGCTCACTCCCTTTTAACTTGATAAACTGCAAGCCTCTTTAGGTTATGATCAGTCATATTGTATAGATGCTTGGATTGGTATATTTGTACACGTTCTACTTCCATTCGACTCTTACAAGAAAAAACTAAACACTAATCAAAATCTCATAAAGAGATGGAAGTGAACAGGAGTTTTTGCATGTCGTAGTGGTAAGCCTTGCTTAGTTGATAAGTGACTGAGATTTCCTCAATGATTTTATACTGGCTCATGATTTACTCATTATCTTGGGTTACTGAAGGGGATCAACAAAGCCTGAAGTGTATGTTGCCCCATGCAACTGTTTGTTTCACCTGTTATCGGGAATATTTATTTTTATTAGATGATTAGATTTCCCCTGCCCCTGGTGCACAACCCTGATGAGGACCCTGTTGAGGTGTTTTGTAAGTTCACTCCAGTTTTCACATGACAAGATTGTCGACCTCATCCATCTTTTATTAATTTATTTATAAATGATAAATTTTCATATTTCATGAATAAATGACAAGTGGATCTGCATCATTATTGATATTGGTTTCGTCTGCTTGCTGTTTGTTATCTAGAATATTTTAACCTTGTATACATTCTCTTTAGGCTGCACAGGCTCACATGGAACAGGCAGGCAATATTTACCAGCAGGCAGTTGATGGCAAAGGTGATGCACCAAGTCTAGCTGAGCAGAGTCGAAAGGAAACTCAAACCAATCAAATGTCTCACAACTTTATGTCTGGAACTAGAGAACAGTCAGCTCCTATAATGTACACACGGCAGGTGCCTTTTACTGAGAAATCTGGCAACGCTGAAGATCCTAAATCTGCAGCAGCTGCAGTGGCAGCAAAGCTTACTGCATCAACATCTTCGGCTGAGATGCTGACATATGTCCTCTCTTCCCTGGCATCGGAGGGTGTCATAAGCAATCAAATAAAAGAATTGCCTGGTGATTATTCCTCGGAAAAGAGGGCTAAGATTGAAAATGACCACGCTTCTTATGTTCCTCAGAATCCCCAGGCACCTGTTCTACCTTATTCACACCATGCCTCAATACAGCATACTTTGCCAGTCCCATCTCAGGAGTCAAACCCTGACAATTCCCCCCCACCTCCTCCATCGTCCCCACCTCCATTACCACCTCTACCACCTATGCAGCCATATCCTATTCCTCAATATATGCCAACTGCTGGCCCGGTTCCTAATGTACCATATGGCTATAACACCAGCCAGCACCCGGCACCCCTACCTGGTTATCCTACAGTTGGGCCTCCTATGAATGGGGTTTCTCCCTTCGGAGTTCATCCACCGAATGTTTACCAAATGTATCCAACTGAAGGTGGTTTGTACGGGCAGCAATCATCCTTGCCCACACCTGTCACCCGCCAGTAGAATTTGTGGTCAATTTGTTGACGGACAGGTGAACAGCATTTTAACGATGGCAGTTTTAGAGACTTATCCCTCTTTATTTTCCTTTTTTGTTTGAAGTTCATTAACTTCTCTAAGAATAGTTTTAAACACACATAATTAGGTGTTGTGTATTGTAGATGTTTGTAACTTATGATTTTTTATCATAACATATTTGTTTACATGGAGTTGGGATAAGTTTCTGTGAGTTGCTTATGGAAGATAATTAGTGAAATTGATCATAAGATATGGTTTTGCTAATGATGATCCAAATATAGATTTTTACAAGTTTGTGTATTTCTTTATAGAATGAAAGAGCTTTAACCTCTAGTAACTGGTCTCGGGTAAATGTTCCAATTTTGCACATCCTTAGATTTCGATCAACCAAGACGTGGCAGTCATTATTGAACATGGGCGTCACTATATAGTCCTTATTTTACTATAATGATCACCAACCAGTCAACTAATTTTTCTAATTTAAAATTTCGAAATTACTTTCTTTTAATTTTTTTGAAGGGAATAACAGATCGACGGACTCTTCTCCCACCCAAGAATAATTCCACTCTTTATGTACAACCCCTCTCTTTCTCTCTAAACCAGTAACCACAAGGGCCATTTCAACCTTTAAAAATGCTCTAACAATAGAAAATAAATTTCTAAGTCGGTTAATTTTCCTTTACCATCCTTTTGCATGTCCCTTTTATCCATTTCTTGTTTTCCCTTCCTCTCCTCGATCCATTTCTTCATGTCATTTTTTGTCAAGAATCAATAAAACAAACTACCATGGACACAGATAAAGAGAAATCCACTGTCCCTGAAAAATCCCAGAGTTTAGTATCTAGAAACAATGAAAAAGATGAAAACAATGAAGATTGTGATCAGAACAATCAAATCGCCACTGTTGAAGCTCCGGAACCACCACCAGACGGTGGTGCTGAAGGAAAACAAGACAATGCTACCGGTGAAGCCAAACAAGACAACGCTGTTGCAAACCCTGAGACGGAGATCAAAGAGGGAGAAGAGCCAACTGATGTAAAGAACCAAGAGTCTTCTCCTTTGCCTCCTGATCTCAATAAAGTATCTGAAGAAATTGACCAATATATCTCTAATTTGTCCACCTCGAAACATGATGATTCCAATTCCCCCGACGTGCCTATTTTCATTGAACATTTTGCCATTCTTGTTGAAGCAAAGATTGAAGACTATGATTCCTGTGATAGTCCTGTGAAATGGAGTAAGCTTTCTGAACAAGAATCGACTTCATTTCTGGATTCCGTCAATCGGGTTAGTAGGTTATCAACTGCACTCTCTGAATTCTCTTGTGATTATAAATATGCTTATACAATTAATCGAATTGGTGGGGTTCTCCAACGTGCAATGTCCTACTTTGAGGAAGAATTCAGATCACTTCTTGAAGATCATAAATTGTCGAATTTGGATCATAATAACAATGATTCGAAGCCGAAGCAATCTACATCATCAAACCCTAATCAAGACGCACCAGAACCTGGCCCTGTAGAGGAAACTAATTCTTCAGCATACTCGGAAGAAAATTTATCAAACTTGATTAGATTATCCAGGGCAATGATTGTAGGAGGCTATGAATCTGAATGCCGTTTAGTGTATTTTGTAGCAAGAAGAAATGCATTGGAGGAAAGTTTGCATAAGCACGGATTTGAAAAACATAGCATTGATGATGTGCAGAAAATGCACTGGGAATCATTGGAGAGAGAGATCGTGGCCTGGCTCAAGATTTTCCGGCAATACGCCGCAGTGCATTTTCCGAGTGAGAGGAAACTCTCCGATGCCATTTTCTCGGACTATCCATTGATATCGGAGAGCCTGGTTAGCAGCCTGTCACGAAACATGGTGATTCAGCTCCTGACTTTCTCCAAGGCTGTTGCAATGACAAAACGTGCTGCTGAAAAACTGTTCAAATTTCTTGATGTTTATGAGGTTTTGAGAGATGTTGTTCCGACAATGGAGAGTTTATTGTCAGCAGAGATTGTGGACGAGCTTAAAGCGGAGACATCGTTGATTCGGAGCTGGTTCGCAGAGTCAATGATTTCCATTTTCGGTGAACTTGAAAACTCGATTAAGGCTGACTCAGGTAAGACCCCAGTTCCAGGTGGTGCAGTTCATCCATTGACTCGTTACACCATGAATTATCTCAAATATGCATGCGAGTACAAGGATTCATTAGAGCAAGTTTTTAGAGAACATCAGAAAATTGATAGAGTCGAGTCCGCAACAGGATCTGAATTCGAATACAATCCAGAAACCCAAGCCCAGAGTGCTAACAATGATCAGACAGTAAAACAATCCCCATTCCAACTGCAGATGATGAAGGTGATGGATTTATTGGATGCGAATCTTGATGCTAAATCAAAACTTTACAGGGACATTTCATTGAGCTCCATTTTCATGATGAACAATGGACGCTACATATTGCAGAAGATCAAAGGATCAACCGAAATAAACAGCTTGATGGGCGACACGTGGTACCGGAAAAGATCATCGGACCTCAGGCAATATCACAAATGTTATCAGAGAGAAACTTGGGGAAAATTATTGAGTTGTTTACATCCTGAAGGATTGAGTGTTAATGGTAAGGTAGTGAAGCCAGTTCTCAAGGAGAAATTCAACAGTTTCAATAAAATGTTCGATGAAATACACAAAACACAAACTTGTTGGGTTGTGAGTGATGAACAGCTTCAATCTGAGCTTAGAGTTTCTATATCGAACATGGTAATTCCTGCATACCGGTCGTTTTTAGGCCGGTTCAGTTCAGTTTTTACTCCAGGGCGACAAACTGAGAAGTACGTAAAGTACCAGCCGGAAGATATTGAAACGAATATAGACGAACTATTTGATGGAAATGCAGCTCCAGCGGGAAGAAGGAGAGTATAAATATATAAACATGGCAATAATCGGTTGCCTTGTAATGGAGAAAGTAAAAATGAAGAAGCCCTTTTGCTTCATGGGATGGGATCTGGAAAATTACAAGAATCTGAGCTGAATTTTTTATAGCTGTAGAAGCTGCTATGTGTTTTTCCCTGTTTTGCTTACAATTTTTATTTTTATTGATTTCTTGATTGAGCGTATTACAACATATGAATCTAGTTTTGTAAGACACAAGCCATGATGCTGTATGTTTTTTGGTTGGTCCATAACAATCAATTTCATCTATTTTACTTTTCATGATTTTTTTCCTTTATTTCTGTTAAAATTTTGAAGTTTCATCACCCCTTCAAACGAGTTCCTGACGATGAATATTAAAACTCAGCAAATTGATCGATCTTTTATTATTACTACTGTTTGTTATCGGAAAATAATGCAGATTTATATAAACTCGTCGGCTAGGGAAAATGACAACTACAAAAAGGGATTATTTATTAATTCAAATAGTGTATTATACTTTTTTACCACTTGTCTATGTATTATCTGCGGTATTGCATTGTGCAGGTTGGTGAAGGTGAAGGCATCTATATAGATCACGTGAAACCATTTTCTACTGCTGAAATGTGATTAACGTTGAGCATCTTTTGAATTATTCTAAGAAAAACAATATGGTGATAGACTATTACACCGATGAAGAAACTATTCGAAGGATATTTAATATGATTATCTATGATGACGATTAAGGCAGAGGCGGATGGAAAGGAGTGCTGGAATGGGCTATAGCCCATCACAAAGCAAATTGGCTTGTAAAAAAGGGAAAAATTTATGGCTCAGGTGTTAAGTTTGACATTTTAAAAAATCAGGTGCTAAAATTTAAAATTGTAAATATCAGGTTAAT